TTGGTGACACGGTTTGTTCCAACCACAAACCGGTTTTATTCAACACCTCATTGATTTGTGAACCTGCACCTCCCCCCACACCCAAGCCCTGTAGGATTTTTAACCCTTCCACCGCCACACTGTTCTCTTCCATCTTTGCTAGTAATGCTGTTACAGACTGAACTCTCTGCGGGTCTTACTACAAAGGAGTTGCTTTCTCAGCATCAGGAGGCCTGTGTACAGATCCTGGACTCAGTCGCCCGTTAAAGCTCAGGAATCGAAAATGCACGCCCCACCCTTGGGCAAATGAAACCACACGAGAGGCAAGACGCTTGTGCAGAAGAGCTGAGCATCAATGGAAGAAAGATAAACTTCAGGTTTCCTTTGATGTGTTAAAATCATGTTGGAAAGCCTATCAGACCACCGTTAAACAGGAGAAAAGTAAATATTTCTCAAAAAGTATCAACTTAAACAGTCACAACCCCCGCGTTCTTTTCAACACCATTAACACCATTCTAAATGTGCCTCAGTCTGCCACCACTGAGGCCTCTGTCGACACCTGTAATAAGTTTGTCAGGCATTTTGTTGAAAAGGTTGAGTCGATTAGGTCATCAATTCCACACTCCACAGCCGACCCTTCAGTTCTTGTCCCCTGCTCAGCAGTCTTCAGTCACTTTGAACCATCTCACTCTCATTTTTAAATGAGGTCGTTGGTCACATGAAACCCTCAAGCTCCCCTGCTGATCCCATCCCTGCTGCATTTTTAAAACAGGTTCTACTGTCAACTGGACCCTCTGTTCTTAATATTAACAGGTGTAGTTCCTGATGTTTTAAAACATGCAGTGGTAACTCCATTAATTAAAAAACCCGGACTTGACCCTGCAGCTTGTTCAAACTTCAGGCCAATCTCAAAACTTCCATTTCTTTCTAAAATCTTGGAGAAAATAGTTTTTCGTCAACTAACCAAGTTTTTGAATGTAAATGGAATTTTTGAGATTTTTCAGTCAGGATTTAAACAACTGCACAGCACCGAGACAGCTTTAGTAAGGGTCTGTAATGACATTCTGCTAGCGAATGACTCTGGTCAGTCTATGATCCTGGTACTCCTCGACCTTACCGCTGCATTTGACTCTGTTGATCACAGCATCCTTATGTCACGACTAGAACAATGGGTTGGGATTACTGGGGCGGCGCTAGAATGGTTCCGTTCATATCTGAGTTACAGGAGTTTTTGTGTTAACTTTGGCAATCATTTATCTGCTTCTGTCCCTCTTTCCTGTGGGGTCCCACAAGGCTCCATTCTTGGACACTTTCTGTTCTCTTTGTATCTGCTCCCCTTGGGGTTGATCCTGAGGAAACATGGTATTTCGTTTCATTGTTACGCTGAAGATTCTCAGATTTATCTGCCTTTAAAACTCAACAGTTCCTGCTCCATCCACCCTTTGCTAAAATGTCGACATCAAGACTTGGATGGCTGCAAACTTCTTGAGTTTTAATGATCAAAAGACTGAGGTCATTGTGTTTAACCCAAGCTATACCACTGTCACTGATCCTGTAAACCTGCACTCCCTTCAGACACATCTAAAGCAGTCGGTTACCAATCTCAGAATCAGTTTATTATTGCCATGTCAATGAACGAGGTTCACAAACTAGGAATTTGCTTCGACATAAGGTGCGAATAGTAATAAAGCAAAATAAAGTAAAAATGAAAACATTACATAAGACATAAGACCTGTGTACACCCACAAATAAAGTAAAAATAAAAACATAACATAAAACGTGTACACCCATACAATAGAAAACAATAAAAAAGCTTCGAAAACAGTACAGATGGAGTATTCAGTTATAATACAGATGTAATGTGACCAAAGCAGAAATTATGAGGTAGCATTATGAGTGTTCAGGAGTCCAACAGCAGAGGGGAAGAAACTGTTCTTATGGCGGGAGGTTCTGGTCCGTATGGACCGAAGCCTCCTGCCTGAGGGGAGTGGTTCGAACAGTCCGTGTGCAGGGTCAATATCTGGAAAGTGTTAGACTCGGACTTTAAGTTTAATAAACAGAGTAAAGCTCAAGTCCGTTCTGTCCAGATCAGACCTTGAAAAACTAGTCCATGTATTTATTACAACCCAGCTGGACTACTGTAACTCACTTTATGTTGGGGTTAGTCAGGCTTCACTTTCACATCTCTAGCTCGTACAAAATGCGGCAGCTCGGCTTTTAACAGAACTTGCAGGTTTGAGCACATTACTCCGGTTCTGTCCTCTCTTCACTGGCTTCATGTACGTGTTAGAGTTGATTTTAAAATTCTCCTGCTGACATTCAAGTGCATTAACGGCCTTGCACCATCATACCTCTCTGACCTTCTTCGTCCTTATACTCCTTCTCGGGCTTTGAGATCATCAGACCAGCTGCTTTTGGTGGTACCAAAAACCAGCTGAAGCTCAGAGGAGATCGAGCGTTTTCAGTCGTGGGCCCTAAACCCTGGAACAATCTGCCCATCAACATTCGACAGGCCACCCCAGTCTCTGCTTTTAAAGCTCTCCTAAAAACACATCTGTACTCACTGTCATTTAACACAGGGTGATCAGCTTTAGATCTAGTTTTTCATTGATGCTGATTCTGTTTATGCTTTTGTTATTATTCCTATTTAACACAAGGTCATCAGATCTGATTTAGTATTTCATTGTTTCTGACTGAGTTTATGCTTTTTGTTATTATTTCCTTGACTTTTGACACAACGTGATCTGATTTAGTATTTCATTGTTTCTAATTATGTTTTCGGTTTTATATTTTTATTCCATGTGCTGTAAATATATCTTGCTACTTTTTATTTGATGATGTGATATTTTTGTTAAGCACTTTGGTAACAGTTTCCGTTTTAAATGTGCTCTATAAATAAATCTGACTTGACTTAACATCATGGCTTATTCAGTCATGTATTGTACTTTTAAACAAAAAAGCTAAGCATTGTGTGACTGCCCTTCATAGGTCCCAGTGACAATGACCTGCCTGAGGTCCATCAGAGATGCAGCTGATGAACAGCCACCAGACTCATTCCTAGCCAGCTCCATGAGGACCTGGATAACCCTGCTGGATTAGATGCATTTAGCATCACAGATGAGGGAGAGAGGCACAGGAGAGGCAGTCAGACCCCAGGTGGAAGAGGCAAGGGAGGGTCTTTGGTCCCGCTTCAGGACTCAGGTACTTTTTGGATGGCTGTGAAGTTAAATACCCTAATCGGGGAATCAAATAAGGTTTACATTCTATCATTTTAGAAAGTTACTCATCATCTTTTTTGTGCCATGTTTAGGTAATGGAGCCTTATCTGGATGGCCTGCTAGACAGCCTAGACCAAAGGTTTGAACACCTGAATATCCTGGGAGCCTTTCAAGACTGGGAGCCAAAGAAGACGATGCAGTCATCAAAGGGCATTTTCAGACCCTGTCTACAAAATTTTATTTCAAGATCCAGAAAATCCTGTCCTGCTGCAAGAATGGACATCATATAAGCATCATCTGCAGGTTGGAGCCTTCAAGGTAAAATGAGAATTTAATCAAGAGGGGAATTATACAGGGAGATGATTGAGGAAACCTGATCAGTGACAGGTTTACATTATGTGTTTCAGGATATGGACCAGCTCAACATGATGATGAAACTGGCATCCCAAAATGATAAATGGGGACAGCTTTAGCCACGTTTGATCCAGCTCACAGCCATTGCATTAACAGTGTCCATATCATCTGTCAACTGTGAGAGATGTCTCTACAATGAACAGGTTGAGACACTTGGTTAATAGTAAACAGTAAGTCAGTCAAAGATGGTTTGATTTCTCTCATGTCCTAAGCTTTTAATTGTTTTCATGTGTAGGTGAAGACCAATGTGAGGAAAAGGCTGCAAGGGGACCATCTCATATAGGGGACCATATCAGGTCTCTCTTGTAAATGAGTCCTCGAGGCTCAATGGGATTTACCTGTATAAATAAAGGTTGATTGATCTGGCAGCAGCATGCTACTCAGCATCAATGGGCCCCTCATACTGAATTCCCATACAAAAGAGTGTTAAGGCTCTTTTTCAAGAAACCTAGAAGGATGAAATGTTCTCAGCCAGGCTGCAAACTGCCATTAGATACTAAAGCTGTCATTTCACTTGTACACTGAATATATTGAATAAATGTTGTTAAAAAAACATTCAATTTGAAATGATCATAATTAAAATGTTGTTGTCTACAGTTGTACACAATCACACACACACACCCTCGCAGACAGCCTACCACCAGAGTAAAAAAAAAATTCTAGAGGAAGCTCTGAACTCATCATACACCCTCTGCTTTGCCTTAGCTACCTCCCTCTTTGCTCTACGTCCCATCTCCTTATATTCCTGTCTCCTCTCTTCAGTCCTCTCTGTCATATTTCTTCTTGACTAACCTCTTTCTTTGAACATCTTCCTGCACTTCACTGTTCCACCACCAGGTTTCCTGAGCATCCATTCTCTGTCCAGATGACACACCAAGTACCTTCTTACCCGTCTCTCTAATTACTGTTGCTGTAGTAGTCCAGTCATCTGGAAGCTCTTTCTTACCACCCAGAGCCTTTAACAGCTCCTCTCTGAATTTATCACAACATTCTTCCTTCTTCATCTTCCACCATTTGATCTTCTTCTCTGATTTGACTCCTTTTCTCTTCTTCACAACAACAGTCATTCTACACACAACTATCTGATGCTGTGTGGCCACGCTCTCCCCTGCCACAACCTTACAGTCTCCAGTCTCCCTCAGGTTTCCTCTTCTACACAGAATGTAGTCGACCTGCGTACTCCTTCCTCCACTCTTATAGGTCACTCTATGCTCCTCCCTCTTTTGGAAATAGCTGTTGACTACAGCCATTTCCATTCTCATGGTGAAATCCACCACCATCTGTCCTTCCTGGTTTCTTTGGCCTTCACCTACAACCACAACCCCCACCCCCAAGCACCGTTAGTTTGACTATAAATATTACGGAAATAATCCAACCTTAAACTCTTACCATTTGTCTGAATGGCAGCAGAAATGTTCTCACTGAGGCACTTGTAGACGTTCAGCATGTCCAGGTAAATCCGTCCCAACTGAATAACAAATGGGTGTCCCACAGCCTTGCAGGCTCTGACGTTCGTCTTTAAGATGCTGCCAAGCTGTTTTACAGTTTCTGGGTCCTTCAGGATGTCAACATTCTAAAGCAAAGCAGAGGAACATTTACAGGATGGCAGATGTTGGGTGGAAAATGTGAAATCTAGTATATTGATTTGTTACCTTGGTGGCCTGCTGTATGATGCTGTCCCACACTTGATTAGGGAGCAGCATATACTTTTCTATTAGGTGCTCCTGGACAGCCTGGTCTGTCTGGGCTCCGATCATGTAACCTACTGCTTCATAGAACGTATGCACCTGAACAAAGATATCAGATACCTCAGTCTGGATGCAAGGTTGAGCTTCTTGGTACTCTCCTTCGGTCTGATGAATTTGTTGTGATTGAAACAAGATTCAGTAGGTGTTAGCTGACCTGTTGAGGCTGGAGGTCACAGATGATTGTGTTGATGTTGTTTATTATCTCATCAATGAACGGCATCACTTCTCCAACTTGCACCTGGATAAAATGGCGTCTGCACTTCTGGGCTATCTTAATGAAGGTGTCACAAGCCATGTCCTGAACTCCATCATGGGTCTCTGAAAACAAAATTTAAAAGAAACCTGCTTTGAGACAATATAAGAAATTTGAATAGTCAATAAATGTAAGACTAGAGCTGAAAGTAGGATCATGAATGAGAAAAACAGTCAGTCAGACACAGAAGACTTTGTTGATGAAGAGGGTGACCATGATTTATTTTAGAAGAGGAAGAGCCCCACTAGGAGGTCTGAGGTCGTTTTCACACCTGACAGTCTGGTAGACTGTACGATTGAGGACCAAAATTCAGAACAATTGTTTACATTTATAGCTGGTGCAGTTCGCATTTACACTACACTGAGTCAATCGAGCCAACCTGTTGTCCACCTCACGTGGTGGCGCTAAACCAAGAACTACTGACGGAAACAACACGAAAACCTCTAAAGAAGGCATTGAGTGCAACTTACTTCTGGAAATAAAAACAAAAATAGAGTGGGGTCAAATTTTAGCGGTTTTAAGATTTCTGTGTTGTCTGTGGCTCATGTACCAAACAAAGATTTTTCAACAATGGACTCAGCACGAGCAGAAGATGAGGCAGAAGACCATGGAGGATGTTGTTTTTCACACAAGGCGGCTGAGACGGCTCCGTATGAGGTATGAGAAATGCGAGTTTGTTTTGGTTGCATTTACCCAGAATGTCCAACGCTGTAGTCCACTTCCTGTTTTGGAGCGGTCTCTGCTCTGCTTGCATTCACAACGCATTCGAACCACGCCTGATTTAACTTCAACTGAACCGAGACCTAGTTCTATTTTGTATAGGCTTCGCCCTTTAAGGCTGTCGCTGATGGGTTTATCCCGATATGCGAAGCATTACACTGAAAAATTTAGTCCACGCCCACCTGCTGTGTGGGCCCCACCCGGTCCGTATAAATTACGTTAAGAGCGGGAAATCGGCTCCCATTTTTTCTTCAGTGAGCTAATAGCACTGTCAGAAGAACGAAGAAGGAAAGTTGTGTAGATGACCAACCTTTGTTAAGAATGCTTGGCCCGTCAAGTCGACCTCTGGTCATCCCGGTGAGCTCTCCTCCCCGAGGAGAAGCTGACGAGCAGTCTTATTTCAAGGTAAGCGTCGAGGAGTATTTCTCAGTGACAGGTTGCTACATGCTGGACAACGCCATCTTGTAATTTTCCTCTCATCGCCGACCCTCAGAGCAAATCGGATGGTTCCTCCGGGACAGGCGGCGCTCAGCTGCAGCCCCCCGCTGCTCATTCCCTCCTGGAGAGCGTAGTGTTGGTGGAGGGGGGCTAAGCGAATACTCACCTCATCCCACCTTGTTTCGCATCGGCGATCACACCGCTCCCGGCCGACGGCGCCCTCTGGGGTTGCCCGGCGTAACCCAGGAGGCGGCTGACATGAAGGGACCCTTTTTTATGTCCCACGCCTTTTCCCGCCAGTTCGGATGATCCGGCGGGAAGGTTGTTTTTTCTAGGTTCCATTCCGGCTCACCGTCTTGATCCATCTGGCCTCGTTTTCCCAACAGGACGTCCTACAGGCGAGGCCACAGCCGGTTTTTCCTGGTAGATTGGGGGGCCGGTCTCCACAGTCCGCACCCATCTCCAGAGCAGGGGTTCACTGAGCGGAAAGTCCCTCAGTGCCCCCTGGAGCCGAGCCTGACGGAGGCTTCATTGGAGCAAGATGTCCAGGTGGACCAGCGTCCTGTGCCTCCGGTTAGCGTAACCCAGACGGTGATACCGCTCTCCAACTGAGCTCACCAGCATGCGTTCCAGACGGCCACAGCAAACAACACGTTACGCTGTTGGCGTACACGTTCAGAGGCGGGAAGAGACGGTGGGCCCTCTGACCTTCGGCTCGCTCCGCTCTCGTAGCGGCTGTTCGCTAACGACGCTATCGGCCCCTGCAGTACGCTCCGTCTGCAGGGCAGCTGACGTCATCCCCAACCGGTGCGCCTCGTTTGCTGTCTGCCACCCTGCATCGCAGCTGGAGAACGAGGTCCCAGAGGTTCTCCTTGCTCATCACTCCACCTTCCTCTCAGGAGAGCTGCAGAAGCTTTTGTTGGAAGGCCTTTTTCATCAGCGAGAGATCATTTCAAGATGCTCCACGGCTGCACAACGCCTCCCCAGCTCTGCTACGCCAGCCCCTCCCGTCAGACGTCCCCGGTATCCGGAAGTTCAAATTTGCCCAGACTCCGCCAACAGGGGGCCCTCTAGGACAACAAACAGAGCTCAAGGGAAGATAACCAGGTGTCGGTTTGCTGGAGGTGTGTTGATGACACAAGATGTGGAATAACATCATTTTATGATGAAGTGTCTTTTAGCCAGGCTGTCAGAATGGATGATGTGACAAACGGCCCCATCACACACACTCATCACGAATAAGCCTTTCAAGGTTGTTTCATTCACTGCCAGCGGTGCAAACACGCGCTCGAGCAGCCTTCACCTATAAGGCACTGCGTTATGAAAGCACGCACGCAGCTCTCAGCGCCCGCCGTTCACGTCAACGTTAACGTGAGACCACGGTACGAGCCCAGTAACGTATCTAGCTCTCAGCAGGAGCGACATGCGTTTTCATCGCAGTGGTGTCAAACGCGCACTCCCGCGGCGTCAACAATTTCACAAGCCTCACAGCGGCTCCGCTCCTTCATCCTCGAAGAAGATTTTCTGAATTAATACTGCAGCTCGTGGAATCACTCAAAAGCTCACGTGATTCGCAGCCAATGAACGTGTTTCTGCAGACCGAGCCCAGTGGTAACCTCGCCCCACCGATACCGCGCGCTGCTTCCTGACCGCACCAGCGTCAAACGCGCGCTCCTGCGGAAATCCTGGCTTAATGCGTCGCATGAATGAGGGCGCGCACACACACGACTCTTCAAGGCACGTCGGCTCATACGTGCACCCGCTTCCCGACCGTTTACACGGAGCAGCTGCACACAACGTGAGTACAACACATGAGCTGCGTCCCGCAGCATCAGCAAATGCACGATTTGCATGCTCGGGGGCGCGCGTTTTTTCTTTCTCCTTCAGCGCGCATCAGCTCACATCAGCATGCATGTGAGTTCACAGCATCAATGCGTGCCCGCTTGATAACTTTATAACGAGTGGCAATGAGCGCGCGCTCCAGACAGATAGGCGAACCGTTTTCATCTGGGGATTCACGCTGTAGCACAGCTCAAACCTGGTGCGGAGGAACTCTAATGACGTTTTCTGTCATTTCTAGAACAGATCTCGTCCCCTCTCGCAGAAGCTCCGGAAATTCTGATTTAAATGTAATTTTCCAGAGTCTCAGAAGGAGAGGAAATGCAGAGTTCCTCTCTCGTCACTCCCTGGTCCCAACGAACCGGAAAGATGAGATTTATTCTAGATTTGTCAATTTTGAACTGTGAGAAACAACACTCCATTAATGTGCCCGAGCCGCTCTGCAGCCGCCGCTCTGCAGCCGCCGCTCTGCAGCCGCCGCTCTGCAGCCGCCGCTCTGCAGCCACCGCACAGAGCGGGGAGGAGAATTCTGCTTTATCTAGACACCTGCTGCTGAGCAGTTTGTACAGACAGGTGGCAGCAGTGCAACTCATGTGAACCGGTTGAGTGATATCAGCTGTTTCCGTCAGCAGACCTACGTCACACATGTCAGACTTCACAAAGGCACACACATTTAACGAGCTGTGGGGGCACTGTGGTTCTCCACACAGCAGCTCATTTAAATGTTTTTGGAGTGTTGCACGTTTTTTTTTAATGTGATTCAACACGTTGCCTCTGAGACAGAGGCTGGTCCACCCTAAGGACAAAACACCCATACACAAACAGAGTGGTGTAGTGTATGTGGTCCAGTGCAGCGAGGACTGTCCAGACCTCTACATTAGAGAAACTAAACAGCCTCTTCACAGACGCATGGCTCAACACAGGAGAGCCAGCTCCTCTGGACAAGACTCAGCTGTTCACCTCCACCTCACAGATAAGGGACACTCTTTTGAGGACCAAAATGTGCACATTTTGGACCGAGAACACAGATGGTTTGAGAGGGGGGTGAAGGAAGCAATTTATGTAAAAAGAGAAAAGCCGTCTCTTAACAGAGGAGGAGGCCTCAGATTTCCACTTTCAAAAACCTATAATGCAACTTTAAAACAGATTCCCAGCCGGTTTTCACACCTGATGGAAACAGAGGGGCCTCGTCTGTGAATTAGAGGAACAAAAGACTCTTATTGTTAAGGTTGTTTAGGTGTGAATTGCCAATCTACATATGTGTGTGTGTCTTATGTGTGTGTGTGTGTCTTATCTCACTCAGCCTTATAACCTGAATCTCTCACTCTCTGCTCTTTGAATTTAGAAAGCTCCTCGGATGAGGAGCGAAACGTCTTCTGTTACAAATAAAGTCCAGTTGTTTTTGTATTGAACGCTTTTTGAATGGTGTGGTACAGTGCTTCAGAAAAATACTTAACCAAACTACAATTAGTCTAAAATAGAACAGATAGTCTTGCATTGAATTGTTCCATATATGAAATATTACCAGTGTGCACAAAGCATTGAGTTGACCTTTGGTTAAAAATAAGGTTGAAATTGCCCTTTTATGCTTTTTTAGAAAAGTGGTATCTAAGATACCAAATGTTTTATATAATCAACTTTTATTTAGCCAAACTTTACACAAATTTAATGCAAAGCATGCTATTTTATTTTAATACAAGGTAAGACAATACAAGGTTGTTTTACTCTTCCACCATACAACAGGAACGCTGGACAAAAGATCGTTATTTTTAGAGGAATGAAAACATGGAACTCTCTTCCTTCATTTGTGTTACATGTAACAACTGCTAGAGCTTTTATAAGAGTCCTGCTAAATTATTTGATCAAAGTATTACAATTATAAATTTATTATTATTTAACCTGTCTAAATAAAGGTTGAATGAAAAATAAATTTATTAATTATATTATGTTATGTTGGTAAATGGTATATTAAGTGTATGTAACTGTCCTTGTACATTTTTTTTAATGATGTGGACCTCAGGAAGAGTAGCCATTGTTACAGCAATGGCTAATAGGGATCCAAAAAAAAAAAAAAAACCTTATTCAATTCAATTCACAAATACTTTATTAATCCCTGAGGGAATTTAAGCGTTGTCATAGCTCATCATCTTGGTTTCATTCAAGAGTTGTTATAGATGCTGATCTGTGGGCAGGAAGGATCTCCTGCAAAGAATTCAAAGAATCTGTCCACAGATACTGATCCATCCACCTGGATCCAGCTTGCTGTCAGATCTGGTGGGTCTCTCGGTCCTCCTGGGTAGCAGGACTGCCCGACTGCTGGGTAGAATTCCTCCATGAGCGATGGTCACTCCTCCCAGCAGTCTGTTGAGCTTCTCGTCACCACAGACCGCTTACGGTGCCAGAGGATGATCCTGGTCCTCCAGTTGTCAAAAGCTGAGTTTCCCACCTGCTCCATGATCTTGGTGGTCAGGTACTTGAGCACAGCCGACAGGTTGATGGAAATTCAACCAAGGTGCCTCCTTTTCAACTCATTTGGGGCTGTAGCTGATGTATTTGAGCTTTTGAGAGGTTAATCAGCTGGATGTTAAAAAACACCTTGTCGCCATGGTTACGCATCATAACAAATGTCCAAAAGTAAAAAGGTTTCTATAAAAATCCTTCCAGCAGCACAGCATCCAATACCAGAGGAAGTAATCATCCGAAAAAAAGTGATTTACATCCAGAAAAAAGAGGAATTAAAGTTTTCAAAGGCAATAACACAGAATGAAAGTAACAGAGCTGCTCCAACATGCAGCCACCCCGAGCGGCGCAATTCTAGAACATGACGATCACCAAGCCATAGTCTATGAAACGCCATCCGGTGGATGATTCTTGTACTACAACAAGTGCTGCACGTACTGCCAGGAGCTCGACACAGATTCCGATAATGAATGGTGGATACCTGCGACTTAATAACAGGAGTGTTTAATTTATGTATAAAATTAAAATTTATCTTAAATTTAGTGTGTGCAGCTTAGAGTCAGTGTGTTCTGTATTCCAGCAATTATGGTAATTGTTTGGGATATATTTCACATATTTGAATGTACACCGAAATAAAGTACTTACCAAAGTATTATGCTAGATCCTCCTCTGGTATAAAAATTATTATTTTAATGCAAACAAATTTAAAAATTTTTTCAATTTAAAACTTTCCTGAGTTGGGAATTATTTTTTTAGTTTTCATTTAATTTTGTTTTTATTGATTTAAATGTAAATATGTTTGTACTCCGTCCCATTCCACTGGTCAAGAGTAAAATAAATAAAACCAAGCATTGAGACTGTTCCTGCTGAACAAGAACAAAAAACTGTTTACCATGCATGAACTCAAAGAGCTTGTTGACGACCGTTTTGAGGAACTTCCAGTGAGCTCGGAGGAAGCGTGGATACTGGCCAACGATGTACATGATGTTGGAGGCGATGATGGCCTTGTTGTCCTTCCCTCGTTTCTGCTCACACAGACCCAGAAGATCCTTCCAAAAGAAACAGTCAGAATATTGTTCTGATTAACACTCTGCTGAGAGTCAGATTTTAGAAGCATGTCTTTTAATAGTACCGCTAAGTTTTGCTCTTCCACTACAACTGTGTAGAGAAAAGTTGGTTTTGTTAATACCTTGATGACAGTAACAAGGAACCTCTTCTCATCCTCCTCATGCATCGCCCCACTGATAGATCCAATGGCCCAGCACAACGTATTCAGATTTTTCCAGGACCATTCGGTACCATTGACCTGGTTGTGAAGCTTTTCTGTCATTATGCGTTCTGTGTCCGCATAGTCCAAATGAGTGAGATACACTGCGGAATGAACGGAGATTATCAAGTCTCAGGAAGTCCAACATTTTACTGACCACATCAACTCTGTGGATAAATACATCAAGTTCACACGAGAAGATGTAAAAAATGGCAAGTTGGCTTTCTTGGACTGTGAGGTCTCAGTCTCTGATAGAGGACATTTGCAAACTGAGGTGTACCGCAAACCCACCCACACAGACCAGTATTTGCAGTTTGACTCCCATCACCCTTTGGAGCACAAGTTAGGAGTCATCAGGACTCTGTACCACAGAGCAGACAGCATCCCCACTAGCTCAGGAGCCAGGCAGAAGGAGAAATCCCACACAAGACAGGCTCTAGAGCAATGTGGATATCCTAACTGGGCCTTCCTGAAAGAAGAAACCCAAACAGGACTCCAGTCAGCCATCAGGTGAAAAGGAGGAACCTAGACTCAGACCAGTGGTCATTCCATATGTTGAGGGAGTATCAGAGAAACTGAGACGTTTATTTTCTAAACATAACGTCCCAGTGGCTTTTAAACCCCAAAATACATTAAAGACTGGTTCATCCCAAAGATCCAGTCCTCTGGCACAGAGTTTGTTGCAGCTCCTCAGGCTGAAGTCTTTTGGATAAAAGACAAAATATTTCAACAAAGAAGAACCCGTCCAGAGGACCTGACTCAACCTTGATAAATCTATTTTCTATAAAATGTGCAAAGGTGGAGCTTTGTGTAATGCAGGTCTCATTTATATGTCTGTGATAAGTTGTTCATTAAATGGGCCAACAGTAAATGTGTCCATAAATATCACTTCAGAAGACTCATACCGAGGGTTTCTCTCATGTTCTTGTACAGATTGATGGAATCTGTGTCCTTCATGAACTCTCTGACGACCTCACCCTGGTCATTTTCCACCACCAGGACTTCCTCAGGTTTGGCCATTCGACTAACCATGAGCAGACGCACCTGCGAAAACAGATGGCCTGTTAGCACATGCATATTCCTGAGACTTTTCAAACTTCCAGACTTTTTTTGAATGTTTAAGGACCAACATTTATAGAAACTGTGCAGTCCAAACTAAAGTCAAAACACAAGTTAAGCAGGAAAAATGTTGCCAGCGGTTCCGTTTAAGAGGCAGATCTGACGGGTAAAGTATTTTATGAATAATTCTTATTCACCCTGTAAAGTTATCTTTTCACAGACTGTTAAACTCCCTTCCCTTGAGCCTACGAGCACCTGCTGGTGCCGCCAGGCCAGCTCTGCAAATAAGAATTTCTTCTTAGTGTTCATCTCTGGTTAAATCAAGGAGACAAGTTTTACAAAATGTAAACAAAAAGTAATTATGTCCAATAGAAAATTCATGAGAAAAGCACAAAGTTAATCTGCACCATCTGATTTAAAAAGCTTTGATTTAGATCGATAATAGAAAGGAAACAATGTTTGTTCTACATTCATACAGAGTTGGAAAAATAAAAAATAAATACTCCTCTGGGTAGGAACTCCAGTTATTGGTTGTATTTAATGTCCGTTCTACTGAAGGTCAAATATTTGAATCAGGGACGTTTTATAATCCTCTGACAGCTGATTTCGAGCAGCTCGTCTGGCAGAAGTTAACAACCACAGTGTCACCGGATTCTAATTTTACTATGAGCAAACACCCTGCAGGTTCCAAGAAGAGAAACTGGAAGCCCCATGTCAGCAACGTTTCTTCAGTGCTCCATTACCCCATAATCATCCCAACAATCCAGCTGTTAACATTTCAAAGCACAACCTTGGTTTTCACTGAGATAATCTGAGATAACGTGATGAAGCGGTACCTTGGAGAGGACTGGAAGATACAGCTGTCTACGAGGTGGAACATCAAAGTGCTGGTTCCCAGAGAGCAGAGGGGATGTCGATGTGGAGAACGGACTCTCTCTGTAAAGCTCAGCAGCCAAGTAGTTCCAGTACTCCAGACAAATTTTGAAGATCTCAGTTTCTTCAACCTCTGACACCAGGAGCATATAGTGGAGGGCCTGAACAAGCACCAAGGAGAACACGGGACTGTTCTGACATATTGTCATGAAGACTTCACGTAAAACGTAACAATCTTCATTCCTACCTCCATTGATGTCTCTCGGAGGTTTAGGCGCTTCTCGATAAGCTGCCCGTGCTCTTTAAGGAACGTACAGAGGAACAGACTTAAGTTCTGAATGAAGTTCTGCTCGTCATCTTTCCCATTGGCATAAGCCAGACGAATGTTGGTGTTCAGAGGCAGCATCTGAACAGAAAAACGTTGCGTTCAAATATTTCCTGAACACGTGAAGGCCTCGTTTCCTGTGAATAACTGACCTGTTTGAGCTGACACATGGTCAGCGTGAAGAGGGTCACGAACTGCTCCTCATACTGGTTCACGCTCACTCCAGCAATCTCCGTCAGGCACTTCAGCGTCACGTTTCGAAACATCGGTACATTCAAGAACTAGGAGAGCCCAAAAATGCTTTCAGTCATTCTGTCTGGGTTTGTTCCAACTCAGCAAGCACGTTTGAATCAAAACTCACGACTGTGTCCACACCTTGTACACCAAGGCACTGATGAGCTTGGTTTCAAAAATATAGCCCAGTGGGATCCAGTTGAGAAAACGTAGAAGGGTCTCCAAGGTGGCGTGAACCAAAGGGGCATTCTGGGAGTTTTCCTGAAGCACAACCAAAGACATGAGCATGTACGTGCACAGAAATGCTGTCGGAAAGAAATGTCCATGAATGCAAAAAAGATGTGAAATGACATACCATAACAAACTGGCACAGCTGGAATATCTGTGCAAATTCATTGCACATGCTGGAGAGAACAAATCAAGAGGAGAAATCTTTGAGACGACTGCAACAACACCAAGATTTACATCAAGCTAGTTTAAACGTTCACAAACTGAATGCTTTTCACTTGTCTGACAGTTCAGGCCAGAAAATTAACTTTTCTAAAGAGCTTAGAGGAAAAAACTTAAAAAAGTTAAGAATGAACTTCATATTTCTAACCCTCAGTTTTCAGTGTGCACATTTTGATGAGTCTGTGTGAGCATGCAGCATCCTCACCTGTCCTTCAGGTGCTTGGCTTTGACCTGGGTCATCTGGCCACTGGAGAAATCAAAGACCTCCTCACTGAGCAGCTTTAAGATGATCATGTTGTTCTGACAAAGACTCTCGCTGGTGCGACTGGCCCCCACGATGTCACTGATGAATGCGGGCCAGTGCTTGGGCCACTCCTGCTTCAGGATCTTTACAAGCAAAGGAGAACAAACATATTTCTGTTGGCTCATCAAAATACAAATTATGAGTCATTTATGTCTGGAAATCAAACTGTGACCCCTGACAGGAACGCTACACCCTTCTTCTAATCTTAAATCCAAGCCAGGTCTTAAAGAGTCACGTCATAAACACAAAGGAGATTTACTTTGTGCATATAAAACAGGTTTCTTAGGGTCGGCTGCGATGCCCTACAGGTTAAGGATTATTAGGAAGAAACACGAAGCCATCTGATGAAACTTACCTGAACAAGGATCATGTTCAACTTTCCAATGTACACCTTTTCTTTCTACAGTAGAGATGGACAAGACAAAACTGAGATTTATTATTTCATTGAATAACAACAGTTCATCAGAATCATAAATTAGAACCATGATCTAACAAGAATAAAACGACCAACAAGACAAATAATAAAGCTTTCACTCTAAGATTCTGTAACAAATGTTTTCATCAGATCATTTCACTCAGTACTGTGGGTGTGATCTAAAACACATCTGTTTTCCTAATAATCCAAGTGTTTTTCACAATGATAAACGAGAATAACTAGGCAGTGGTCTCTACCGTATGTTGGCTGCTGCAGCCCCCTGTCTGTGTGATGTGTTTAGGTGGGTCGCAGGTCCCCCCGGTGACGAGATCAGCTGAAACACTACAGTCATCAAACAGTTACCACAGTCCAAGAGCTAAAATCAGACAACATTATCCAGACGTCTGGCATTTGACTGAATCCACTGGAAGAGCAACAGTTTGATCAAAGTGACACCCCCTGCAGTCCATCAAGCCCAGGGAGGTGAGACGATCCCTCCACAAGACAAGTTGGCTACAAACTTTGTAGCCATGTGTGCAAATTCAACAGGAACCTGGAAAACATGACAACTGGAGCCATTTTACAGCCTTGCTTAGGTCCGAGCTAGGGCTCTGCCAGTGGTGGAATGAGGACAACATACAGGTCCATCTCAAAAAATGAGCATATTGTGATAAAGGTCATTATTTTCCATAATGTAATGATAAAAATTAAACTTTCATATATTTCAGATTCATTGCACATCAACTGAAATATTTCAGGTCTTTAATTGTTTTAATACAAAATGCACTATTTTCTGTTAAAAATGTAACGAATAAACTCTCAAAGCTCACGGAGACGGCGCTCCGTTCTTAAAAACGTCTCTTTCTTCAAACACGACTCGTTCGAACCGAATCAGAACCGAGCCGGACCAGAACCAACGTCTGGAACACAGTTTAAACAGAATAAAGCGTTTTAACACAAACCCAGCTTCAGTTACACAACAGATGTACAAATTCAGCTTTTAAACTAACACATTGACTTTATTTTCAGCTTTCAAAGCACCCCATCTGCAAAACATTGCTGTATTTTCTCCGAGCATCGCAGCTGCCACAACGCTGCGTTTCACACAGCAACAATCTGCAACATCTCATTTCATGCCAACATGATAAATTCCATTGTTACACGAATAACAGTCCATTCATGAACCGTACGAGGCCACCAGAATGTAGAGGAACATATATCTGTGATATATTATCCATAAATTAAACGGATTCATTCATTTTTCTGGACTGAATAATATCGTGCATTGAATTTAATAAAATGTAACGTGAGACGTTAATTTTCTTTGACCCATCAAATGAATGCGGTCATTTATTAACAGAATCAAAGTTTAACATCAAACATTTACATTAATTTGGCAAAATTGAGTACAATAACAGCTTAATTAATTAGCAAGCTTTACAGTCAGGAAAACCATACGGCCATGGTTTTCTTTTGCTTCACAACAGACATTTCTGAAAATATCTGGAATGATTTCTGGCAAGATATAAGAGTTTAAAGATGGAAATGAAGTTTAAATGGAGAGGAAAAGATGGATGAGGGAAATGTGTCAGTATCAGAACGGCACGCTCCGTTGAGATCCCAGCTTCCTCCTCGGTACACTTAGGTGGTATAAATCGACTCTTTACCTGTAGCAGGTGTCTCCACTGGTACGGAGTTCCATTTAACGCACCCTTTCAGCGTCTCCGTAGGAACAGCTGTGAATCGTCCGAAGTAGTGACGGTGTTCCGTCCGACACAAGTTCACCTCTCGGTTGGGCTCACATGAGTTGTGAGTCTGTCAGAGTTCATACCATGTTTCGTGCCTCTATTGTCGAGGCGACTTACCAGAGTTAATACCCCCTCCCTGGGCTGCCACCTTACCGTGGTGGAGGGGTTTGAGTGTCCCAATGATCCTAGGAGCTATGCTGTCAGGGGCTTTATGCCCCTAGTAGGGTCACCCATGGCAGACAGGTCCTAGGTGAGGGACCAGACAAAGTGCAGCCCAAACACACCCCTATGATGAAAAACACAAATGGACCTAGTGTTCCCTTGCCCGGACGTGGGTCACCGGGGCCCCACTCTGGAGCCAGGCCTGGAGGTGGGGCACGTGGGCGAGCGCCTGGTGGCCGGGCTTTTACCCATGGAGCTCGGCAGGGCACAGCCCGAAGAGGAGACGTGGGTCCCCCTTCCCATGGGCTCACCACCTGTGGGAGGGGCCAAAGGGGTCGGGTGCAATGTGGGATGGGTGGTGGCCGAGGGC